AGGAGGAGGAGGAGGAGGCAGAGGAGAAGAAGAAGAAGGAGAAGAAGAAGAAGGAGAAGAAGACGAAGGAGACTGGGAGAAGGAGGAGGAGGACAAGAAGGAGTACAAGAAGAAGAAGGAAGGGCAGGGGTCCCAAAACTTGTATAACATCGTAATTCCTTGTTTGTTCCTGTCCTCCCTTCTTTCCTTCTCATTATCCCCTGCGTCCTTCATATCGATCTCTGTATTTCTTCTTTTTTCCCAGTTTCYATGAATATCATGTCTCGATACCTACAGTGCCGAAAGCTTCGAAAGTTGGTTTCCAAGCACGTGTTTGTTTTTTTCATTATCCGTTTATACATCACCGGTTCGTGTTCTAAAAAAAATTGTCCAAAAAATCATTCCCGAACCACGGAGAAGGGGGAAGGGTGCAATTAAAGCCAGAATCTGACCATTCTAAAACTTTTGAATGTAATTTCTTTGCTTAYTTATATATGCAACGCGTAATGGAGAAAGAATGTGCGGATATTAAAATCATCCATAACCAGTCTGCCTGGGATTGAAGCAATCTCTACCAGCCAAATTTGCGATTTTTTTCTTCACTATCGAAACTAAAAGTAATTCAAATCCATCAGACGTGCACTATTAATATTGCATAAAACTAAACTCTTACAAAAACCTACATTTGATTTTTTTTATTCGTTCTGCGTCGTTTTTGTCCGGCTGTGCAAATAAGAAAATTTTATTTTTTCCAAAAATTCGTAAAGTTGGTTATATCTGAAATTAAATTTATTATTATTTATTTAATTTTAATTTTAATTTTTTGAAATTTATTATTATTTTGTTTTTCAGTTATAGATTACGTCGTTTATTATTATGGAAATACCCCTGACATATTGTTAACCAATCAGTAATCGAGTTATCTAATTTGCATGCCATACGGTTGGACTTGTTTTGACACTCAAGAGGTTTCCGTGATATTCGAGGCTTCATTGACTTCGAGAAGGAGGTGGTCTATAAGCTCAAAGATCTTGATTATTTCAAGCGATATCAAGCTTTTGCAAACCATAATGGAAGATTTCTTCGACGATTACGAGCACTACAATTTCGACAAAAGCATTGACAATGGAAATACAAGAAAAGGTCGCACAAAACGCGAAGCAAGCTTGAACACAAACCGATTCAATCCGGGAGGAAACGAAAGAAAGATCGTTGAGAAATTTAAGAACACAGAGAAAAATCGAAGGCTAAAGACCAACAAGTAATGAAATCCATGAAAGCATTTCATATCTATTGAACCCTCCAAGACCTCGGAATATCTTCAAGGAATAACCTTCAAGGATTTATGAATCGATAAAGTCGCCGAACTAAAGTACGTTATAGTCAACCGAGACTGTTGACCTCAAAAGTACTGGTGCAGTTAGATTGAATTATTTTCATTTCTTCTAGCTAATATTAATTATATTTCTTTGGCCTTTCTTCGGCAGCCTTTTGTTCCTTTATATATTTTTCTGAGTAATGTTTTCCAGCGAAAGAATTGCAAAAGCGAAGCAATTCTAATTTACTTGCCTTGCAGAAATTTTCTGTACGTCTTTCGTAMGTGAGGTTTGTGCGTATTTAGGAAATCGTACAAGACCAAGTACTTTCGAATTTGGCGTAGTCTTTATAGAAAAACTTGTAATTTTGGCGAATTCTGTCGCTAAAAAATTGATAACATAAGCTGAAAAGAAATACGTGCAGAAACCGTAAATAAATATTCTACACGTGGAAAAAATGAGGTGCCTTTCTTTCTTGTTTGCATTGATTCATGCAAAATTTATGCGATCAACCCCGATGAGGAAATGATTTGAAAAATTTAGTGTTTTGTTATCTTCATGTTTGTCAAACCAGTTCTTAGGTTGTATGAAACGAGCTACAGTGAAATAGTATTATTTTATACCTGGAAACTACAAAAAACAATGGGGGTTTTTGAGAGAAGGATACGGTTATTGAACACTATATGGAACGATTACCGATAATTTGTTGTGCATTTTAAAATTACGGATTATTATCATTCATTTATCTTAGGGATATATATTTTTACAAAATTGG